GCGGGGAGTCTGCTTCTCCCTCTGATCCTCCTCTCTCTCATGCTCTCTGTCTCTCATTCTCTCTGTCTCAAAAAAAAAAATAAAAAATCTTAAAAAAAAAAAAAAAAGAAGTGGAGATGACCAGAGCTAGAGCAACCGTCAATCAAACCCTCTTCCCAGACTCTATTTTATTTAATCCTAACAGTAGACCTGAGTGGCATGAACAATTATTTCCATCTTAATTTTTATTTTTTCTATTTTATTTATTTATTTGAGAGAAAACGAGGGGGGAGGGGCAGAGGGAATGGGAGAAGCAGACTCCCTGCTGAGCAGGGAGTCTAACACAGGGCTGGATCCCAGAACCCTGGGGTCATGAACAGAGCCAAAGGCAGACGCTTAACTGACGGAGCCACCAGGCCCCGCCATTATTTCCACTTTATAGATAGAAAAGAATCCTGACCTGGTTGAAAAGAATTTTAGGTTAGGCAATGGATTCTAGTTGTGCCACTGCGTATCTGTGTGACCCTGGGCAAGTCAGCTGACCTCATGGAGCCTGAGTCGCTCATCCGGAAAGTAGGGATCACCTAAGATGCAAGAGGGCTCGCGATGATCGGAGGAAAGGTTATGTACAGTCCCCAGCACAGAACAAGGGCTCATGAAAAAATAGAACCCGAACAACTCGGAATGCATATCACAGTGAGAATTTACAAGGGGCCACATCGGAACACATGTCATTCACTCATCCTAGCAGCCCGAGGGAGAGGTACTGCTCCAGTCCCTATCCTCATTTTACGAAGTGATAAAGCACTTGCCCAAATTCTCCTGGCTAGTGAGTGACAGAGCTAGGATTTGAGCTCAGGCAACGGAACTTTGTGGGTATACAACTGAGGCTCAGAGAGGTTCTGACACTTGACCAAGGTCACACAGCCAATCTATGGCAGAAAAAAAGGGCCTGGACAAACTCTTCCTTTTCTCACTCCACTCATCTATCCTCCCCCTCAGCTTTTTCTACTGCACAGATAAAGGGTGGAACTGGGCTTGCTTAAACAGTGCCTAGCCTGGGACAGGTACAATAAAAGCACTAAATAATAGATGCTCTGGCCTGCTGGGCGGGACTCTCCCCAGAGCACGGGTGGGGGGAATTGGACCCTTCCCTGGGTATCATGTGGGAAACAGGCCACTTCTGGCTGCTTATTGTTTACTTATTCACAGCCTCCGGTGCTTAAGACACCTGCACGCCTCCCAGGGCCGAGGCTGCGCAGCACCCAGGCAGAGAGGATGCGCAGGACAGCATTTGGACTCAGGAGCCTGGAGTAGCAGGAAACCGTAAACTCCAGGCCCCGGGTGAATTGTGTGACAGGTGTGTGAGGACCGCGTGGGGGTGAGAGACTGCCCTGGGGAGCCAGGCTGGGGCGGGGAAGCGGCCCGAGTCCCTGGAGCCTGGACGGGCACCTGGGGAGCGTCACCCACGCCTAACCCCTCTCTGGGGGCGTGGTCCCAAGGGCTGCACCCCCCCGCCCCCCCCAGAACTGGTGTAGTCTCCCCTCCTCCTCCGAGGAGTTCAGGGCACCCCTAGAACGCCCTGATGAGGGATCACAGTGTGTGGAACGCGTCTGGTCTTGGGTTTATTTAACATGCTACACCCATCTGCAAGGAAGTGGGCGCCCGCGCACAAAAGCTATTCTCTTTCCAGTTCCTCTTCAACACTTCTGATTATTACAGGAGCATGTCTCATTTTGCTGCCAGAAGCCCTTTAACACCTCTCTACCCGTGCTTATCTTGCCACGTCTTGTCTTTAACAAAGGGAGTGCAGGCCTCCAGCTCAGAATGCGGAGCAGGTGAAAGTATCTAGCTTGAAGGTTAGAACACTTTTTTTCATTGTATTTATTTCTTGGTTACCTTCTATTTACAGCAATTGATACTGGCTTTCTATTTTCAGTAGTGATGAAGAGTTTCCTTTTAAAGTGCTTGGTTAAGGGGCGCCTGGGTGGCTCAGTCGTTAAGTGTCTGCCTTCGGCTCAGGTCATGATTCCAGGGTCCTGGGATTGAGCCCCGCATCGGGCTCCCTGCTCAG